GAATCCACCCCACTTGCATTGGAGCTATAAAACCTTACCTGTTCTGATGTTTCTATTCATATTTCACATACACATCGCATCATGTCAGGCAATGTTGGAATTCCAATTTCATTGTTCATTTTCGTGGGGCTCCTAGCATTTGCAATCTCCTACGAGGGTTGGGATTGCGGACGACTTATCGATGATAAATGCCGAACGCTTTCAACAAAATATAGCGTGATCCTTTGGGTTATTTGTGCAGCAGGCATCCTCGCATTACTTGGAGCAATACTTTATTCTGTCTACATTTCCAATGAATCAAACGGTCTCAGAATTGCCGGCATCGTGTTTGCTGTTGTAGCAGCATGCTGTGCCATTGCTGTCATCCTCTATTACTACATTGATACGCCAACTATCTCGTCAAAGAGTTGGGGCCATCTTATTACTATGTTCGCTTCTGGTTTGGGTTTGGGAGTTATATTAAGTCTTCTTGGTACCCTCTGTGAAGATATTCTATGAATACAATGAAAGTTTTTATCCCTTTAATAAAATTGTCTTATCCGAACTTTTATGTATTCTCAAAATTGAATTGATGTGTTAATACTGACATAGCTTCTCTCGAAGATAAGGCTATTTATTCATAAATTGATTGAATAAATAAATATATATATATATATATATATATATATATATAGTAAATGTGTGGAAGATTAAAGTAGAGTCATTTTAAATTTTTTCAATTTAAGGTAGTGCTGGTTTTATCATATAAGAGGTTATTGTCATTATTGAGTATTTTCCTGATTGAATAATCCTGTCTATAAGTGCTGAACGCTCCATATTAAACACGTGCACTTTTAAAGTAAAGCCATTTTAAATTTGATTTTACTTTTCTATTATTACGCTAGCCTTGTTTTATCATATTTAGGTTTATTAACACGGTTTAATGCAATAAGACTAATTATCCTCATAATAATAGAAAACTGTTTACTACCTAGTGGATTCATGTGCATGTATTGAACTCCGTAAATACAAATCGTTAAACATGCAGCATTTATAAGTTGACACAGAAGGTAGAGGAGAAAACGTGTTGAATAGAGCAGGAATACACACAAACTGTGAGAGAATGATACGATTGGATAGTTCAAATTTCTTATACTAAGGAAGTATCTCAACAAAGTACTCAAAACATGGAGATATTTGTGGAGAAGAACTTTAATATTTACGATCACAATTTAAATTTAAGGGTCTTAATCGGTTTGGATGCCTGCTCAGCAAAATATTATATCTCCAAAAACAATTTGAATTTTGAAAAATCCTCTCGTTGACATATTTTTTAATAGTTAAACTATGAAAATATGAAAAAAAGCCAATTTTTTTTCTAGACCAGAATATCTCCTTTAGGGTCTTAATCGGTTCCAATAAATTTTCTATATAGTGGAATTACTTATCTGATCAAGTAATCTCGTGAAAGTGGTAAGAAACGAAAAATATTTTAGTAAATTACTTCAATTAATTCATTTCACTGACAACTTTCCAGAGGTTTTTTTGAATAAAATTGCCTTATGACAACCAATGGTATTCCGTAGGCCACCCAAGGCGACATTCAATTTATTCGTCAACCAATAATTAGTGTAGGTGTTGATAATTCTCCAAAATAGAAATTGAGACAAAAAATTAAAACTCTGACAAACACCTTCGCAATTTGTAACACGATCATAAATTAACATCTGCATTTCAAGACATTTTTCTGTGTTTTTGTGATGAAAAAAATTTTGTACCTCAAGATGAGGTCAAAATGTAGAAATTCATACTAACTATTAATTGAAAGTAAAGTGTATTGTTACAGTTTGTTTCAAAGGTAATCAGGAAAAATTCAAAATACGGTTTTAAATAATATCTTGTGTGTATAAGTAGTTAAATAGATCTACAACTCATATGTTGACTTAATCCATTCCATCAGTAATAATGTTATAAAGTAAATAAGATTATTCACCAAAGATGTCTTTGGAATGTTTTAAAAAATAGCAACATGTCATCAACTTTAGAACCTCTTATCTTTCGGCCACAATTCGTCCAATTCGAATTTGTGAAGCAAAACCGAACCGCTCACTTATTACCACTTGTGGATAATGGGACCCAATGTGGTGTTAATTAATTGAATCATTAAGGTTTTGAACAATGTTCTGACTTAGAAATCTGCTCAAAGTCGTCCAGTTTGAGAAGGATAGAATGTCTTGATACTTCTATTGAGAAATGTCTGATTTCCCATTCCGGTATACTTTCAGTTTCATGCATTGGTCAATGAAACCGCAAAATGAAACAATCTATGAAAAAGGCTTTCATTGTTCAGATGTGCAAACCAAATTTGGCCTTAATTATGGCGATTAGCTAGTTGCTCGGATTGGGATCTCTTAAAAACAATGACCAGGGATCTGAATTTGTATACAACAATGCGTGTTCATTTTTCGAAACATCAAATAGAGTTATGCATCGAGTCTTTAAATTTGATTGACAATTTAAAATTCTCAATGTGGCATTCAAAAAGCTAACTTTAAAAATATTTTATTTAAAATCCTTAGAAGATTAGAGTAAAATGCGCAAAAATCCTAATTTATAAGTGGTTGAAGTAAATTGTGGTTAAATTATGAAGTTAATGGCATGGACTTAGTAGAAATGATTCAAGAAGGAAAACTCATGTGGATTCAAATTTTTGTTACCAATAACTCGAACGTTGGAATATGGTAAACAAATAAATTTTTGAACAAAACGCTGTTTCGAAATCACCACAGCAAACGTTAATACAATAGTGAAAGTTTTGGCAGCAAGTTCAAGAAAAACATATTGCTTTCAAAATAATCTTGTAAAGATAACTTGAACTTGATTAGTCATCTTCATTATGAATGACAATGAGTTGGAAGGGGTGTGGATAGACTTACCTCCACGTGTTGCACCCTGGGCAGCGTATAATCATACGGCAAAAAAGTCTATTAACCGGCAGTTGACTTCTCACTTCAAACTACCATGACCCCACTGTATGTCCTACATTCTCATACGGCAAAAAAGTCTATTAACCGGCATTTGACATGACTTCAAACTACAATCACCCCACTGTATGTCAAATTCGACTACTTGACTTCAAACTACCATCATCCCACTCTATGCCATATTCGTAAATTCGACCACTTCAACAGTACTCATCTTACCTTTTCTCTTCGACTTCTCACTTCAAACTACCATCACCCCACTGTATGTCAAATTCGACCCCTTCCACAGTACTCACCTCACCTTTGCTCTACTGTCGACTTCTTCCACAGTACTAACCTCACCTTTTTTCTACCTATTTCTCACTTCAAACTACCATCACCCCACTGTATGTCATATACCTCTGACTTCAAACTACCATCACCCCACTGTATGTCATATTTCACCACTTCCACAGTACTCACCTCGCCTTTTTTCTACCTTCAGTTGACTCTGACCCCACTGTATGTCATATTCGACTAAGGCAGTTGACTTCTCACTTCAAACTACCATCACCTCACTTATGTCATATTCGACCCCTTTCACAGTAATCATCTTACCTTACTGTGTCATATTCGACTACTTCCACAGTACTCACCTCACCTACAGTTGACTTCTCACTTCAAACTACCATGACCCCACTGTACGGTAGTTGACTTCTGACTTCAAAGACAAAAAAGTCTATTGATCGGCAGTTGACTTCTGACTTGCAAAAAGTCTATTGATCGGCAGTTGACTTCTGACTTCAAACTACCATCACCCCACTCTATATCATATTCGACTATTTTTACAGTACTCACCTCACCTTTGTCCATATTCGACCATTTCACAGTACTCACCTCACCTTTTTTCTTAAATTCGACCACTTCAACAGTACTCATCTTACCTTTTCTCTTCGACTTCTCACTTCAAACTACCATCACCCCACTGTATGTCAAATTCGACCCCTTCCACAGTACTCACCTCACCTTTGCTCTACTGTCGACTTCTTCCACAGTACTAACCTCACCTTTTTTCTACCTATTTCTCACTTCAAACTACCATCACCCCACTGTATGTCATATACCTCTGACTTCAAACTACCATCACCCCACTGTATGTCATATTTCACCACTTCCACAGTACTCACCTCGCCTTTTTTCTACCTTCAGTTGACTCTAGCTTCAAAGACAAAAAAGTCTATTGATCGGCAGTTGACTTCTGACTTGCAAAAAGTCTATTGATCGGCAGTTGACTTCTGACTTCAAACTACCATCACCCCACTCTATTACTTTAACGGTACAAGTCTATTAATCGGCAGTTGACTTCTGACTTCAATTACCATGATCTATTAACTGGCAGTTGACTTCTCTATGTCATATTCGAAGTCTATAAACCGGCAGTTGACTTCAAACTATCGGCAAAAAAATTCTATTAACCGGCAGTTGACTTCTGACTTCAACGCAAAAAGGTCTATTAACTGGCAGTTGACTTCTCACTTCACAAAAAAGTCTATTAACCGGCAGTTGACTTCTGACTACTCAAACGGCAAAAAAGTCTATAAACCGGCAGTTGACTTCTGACTGAAAAGGTCTATTAACTGGCAGTTGACTTCTGACTTCAAATAAAAGTCTATCAATCGGCAGTTGACTTCTCACTTCAAACTAAAGTCTATTACCTGGCAGTTGACTTCAAACTACCATGAGTAAGTCTATTAACTGGCAGTTGACTTCTGAGTTCAAACTATCATGACCCCAAGTCTATTAACTGGCAGTTGACTTCTCACTTCAAACTAAGATCTATTAACTGGCAGTTGACTTCTCTATGTCATATTCGTTATATTAACTGGCAGTTGACTTCTCACTTCAAACTACCCGACTCAATAAAAAAGTCTATTATTCGGCAGTTGACTTCTGACTTCAAAGCGGCAAAAAAGTCTATAAACCGGCAGTTGACTTCTCACTATCGGCAAAAAAATTCTATTAACCGGCAGTTGACTTCTGACTTCAACGCAAAAAGGTCTATTAACTGGCAGTTGACTTCTCACTTCACAAAAAAGTCTATTAACCGGCAGTTGACTTCTCACTGAAAAGGTCTATTAACTGGCAGTTGACTTCTGACTTCAAATAAAAGTCTATCAATCGGCAGTTGACTTCTCACTTCAAACTAAAGTCTATTACCTGGCAGTTGACTTCAAACTACCATGACAAGTCTATTAATCGGCAGTTGACTTCTGACTTCAATTACCATCAAGTCTATCAACCGGCAGTTGACTTCTGACTTCAAACTACGTCTATCAACCGGCAGTTGACTTCTCACTTCAAACTACCAATCAGCCCGACTGCTTGTCATATTCAACCCCTTCAACAGCACTCGCCCCACTGTATGTCATATTCGACTACTTCCACAGTACTCGCTGACTCCATGTCATATTCGATCATTTTCACAGTACTCACACAAACCGGCAGTTGACTTCTGACTTCAAACTACCATGACCAGATCTATTAACTGGCAGTTGA